GGTAATAATCCTTAAGTCTAAATGACTTAAAATAAGGCTTATTTCTCTTGATATTTTTTGTCAGCCAAAGTCATTGTCAGCTTTGTTCCATAATTCTGGGACCCAGGAAAAGAAGCATCCACTCATAGACTGGACTAGAACCAATTAACTGCAGAGGTTGGGGGGAAAGAAGCATCCCTGCCATTCTTGTTGAAAAAGGAAAAGAGAGATGACAGAATCAAGTGATGACTTTTAAAGTTTATGCTTGGCAGTGGCATATCACTTCCTGTCACATATCATTGAACAAATCAAGGCCTAGACTGCCATCCAAGGTGAGGAGGTAAAGTCTGCCCAGAGGGAGGGACAAAAATACTTGGGAGTAGTAATATAATCTATCACAGGTTGTTTTCATCCTCAAGCAGGTATCCTTTTGACTACTTTTGGACTATATACAAAATCAGGGTTTCTTTTAGGTTTTGCTAATATGCAAGTAAGACTTCCTTGTCTCTGGGCTAAGGTTTGCCTGATTTATTTTTTCTATGAATCCACAGAAAAATAAGGATTAAAATCACTTTAAAAAATTAATGAGTATTTGGAGGCCCCAGAAATATAATGGTGGTGTAAATATAAACAATATTGCCTTACAAACTCAACTAATTGAAATCTTTACGATATTACTCTAAGTGGAGAAAAATAACTGATTGCTACTCAACCCCCACTCTAGCCATCAAGAAACTCTCAAAAATAACTTCATATAGTTAGTATTTTAAGACAGACCATTCAGATATGCTGCTCAAATTTGATGAGAATCTCTTGTTATTTTATATGATGTCACAATGAACAGAGGTATATTTTCATTTACATGGACAGCAAATGATGTATTTTTAGATTTAATTGCTGTATGTTTAGGTATTTGTATATGACATGTATATTCAAGGCCCACCTTTTTCCCCTTAGTGATTCTTCCTTCTCTAGAATTTTTTTTTTTTTTTAGTTGTTTGCAAATAGCTGTTACTTTGAGCACTGAGCCCAGCTTTCCTTAATCTCACTGCTTTTGTCTTTTTCTACTTTAAGATACTTTGAAAATTAGTGGTTTATTTTCTTTTTTTTTTCTTTTTTTTTTTTTTTTTCTTGAGACGGAGTTTCGCTCTTGTTACCCAGGCTGGAGTGCAATGGCGCGATCTCGGCTCACCGCAACCTCCGCCTCCTGGGTTCAGACAATTCTCCTGCCTCAGCCTCCTGAGTAGCTGGGATTACAGGCACACACCACCATGCCCAGCTAATTTTTTGTATTTTTAGTAGAGACGGGGTTTCACCGTGTTGACCAGGATGGTCTCGATCTCTTGACCTCGTGATCCACCCGCCTCGGCCTCCCAAAGTGCTGGGATTACAGGCTTGAGCCACCGCGCCCGGCGTGGTTTATTTTCTAAAAATGAAGTAAATTATCTCTACATTCCCCTTAAATGATATTTTATTATTAGATGGCTTAAAGCATGGCTTAAAGCAATACTGTTTGGCTTTTCAATAATATATGTGAAAACTGATCACATTGCATGTCAAATTTTATTCACTCATGGTTTGATAATAATACCTACAACACTTACAGGGTGCTACTGTCACAATTCTAGGTGCTTTATATGTATTGTTCATTTATTCAACACAACAACCCTACAAGTACCAATGTTATCCCTTTTTTTATTTTTTGAGATGCAGTCTTGCTCTCATCATCCAGGCTGGAGTGCAATGGCTCTATCTCAGCTCACTGCAGCCTCTGCCTCCTGGGATTCTCCTGCCTCATCCTCCTGAGTAGCTGGGATTACAAGCATGTACCACCATGCCAGGCTAATTTTTTGTATTTTTAGTAGAGATAGGTTTTTGCCTTGTGGGCCAGGCTGGTCTTGAACGCCTGACTTCAGGTGATTTGCCCGGCTTAGCCTCCCAAAGTGCTGAGACTGAGCCTGGCCATATTATCCCTTTCATAAATGAGAGATATACCATACTTGCTTTAGTACAGATCTATATTCAGTATTGGAAAAATAAACCATGTTTGGCAGGGCTTATCAGTGAAGCTAGGAAGTTGGCCAGTTAAAGCAGGAAACCAATAGAAGAAAGGGAAGTAGTAGTAGAAGCTTGTTTAGAGGTTTCCTGAACCTTACTCTATTCTCCAAACAGAATTTCAAACAAAAAAGGCTTAGGCAATTCTTTTAAGTCGTTAGTCAAAGGAGAATTACTTTCTTTTTAGCCCTAGGTCAACAAATAATTTACTAGTTTTTGTGAAGGCACGATCTGGAATTTATATATGGATTTTTTTACGATCTTGAAACATTAGCCTTTTGTAATCTTCAAAAGAACAGAGAAGCTCAGGAACATGGAAGTACAGGAACCCTTCTTCAAGTTAGAACAGAAACAAAGTGCACAAATTCCAATTATTCCTTTTGATGGTTGATTATCTCATGGGACAGCAACTCTTTGTGGAGTAGCTGCACTTAGCCAGGAGCAAGTAGAAGTCTAAAAGTAGATCTGACCACCCAACCATATGTTGGTCTGGAGAGCCTTTTTCTATTTGAAGATATTTTGGTGGACTATTTATTGTATGTATATAAATGTTTTTATATGTTTTATATGATGATTATATGAGTTTATGTGATGATATGATTCAATTTAACATCATTGAAACTCCAAAGTTGTATAATGGTTCCAAAGTTGTAGAATAAAAATATCTTTAAAGATTAAAAAATTATATAAGATGAAAAGAATCATGTGAAAGCACCGAGTCCCACTTTAATTCTATTTATGATAGTTTCAGTTTGTTGTCTATAACCTTTTCATTAGCCTTCTCAAACAAGTGGTTAAATTTCAGTGTACTCAATTCTTCCAAATGTTAGGAGGAATATCTGTCCATTCTCTCCAAAAGTAGAAAGTCTAGAAACTAAAGTAGAAACTACCAGAAAACTCTAGAAACTAGAAACTCTAGTAAATAATCTATTACTAGGTTAACATTCCATATTTGTTAACTGTACTATAAAGCTTTTAAACCTTTAAATATCTGAAATACTTTTCATAAGAAACTCAGAGAAGTTAAGGGAAAAACTGGAAGGGAAACAGTAACTGGATTGCCAGTTGCCTTGTGTTGAGAAAAAGAGGCAGCTAAAATTGATAACTAATTGTAGCTAAGACATTGGACAATATTAAAGTTTGCAAGTTATTAACAAGTCAGGGTTAGGCAGGGGTAATTTTCCAAGGGTTACCTTTCCTCCAAAATGTGATGTTTCTTTTCCTAAATATATCATTACTTTGACTCACCAATATTTTTGGACAAGTAACATTAGCAATAAAAGCCCTCTAAGCAATTTGCCATTGTCTTAACCACCTTTTTTTAAAAAATAAAAATAAAAAAGGTGACTGTATGCGTTACACATGATAGTTTTTTCTATGTTCTTCTGGTTAAAGAGCAGATAGAAAAAAAACTTAAAACACAGCAAGGCTGTAGCATGCCAAAGGTCACAGAACCTGTAGGTACAGACAGATTTCCTGATTATTAATCTACTGAAATATTTTACAGTTCATTACATTACTAAATCCAGTGATCAATTAATGACACACCTGACATACACCCTTCTAGTTTCATAAAAATCATCTCATTAGGCTGGGCGTGGTGGCTCACACCTGTAATTCCAGCAATTTGGGAGGCCCAGGGGATGCGGATCCCTCAAGCTCAGGAGATCCAGACCAGCCTGGGCAACCTGGTGAAATCCCGTCTCTACCAAAAAAAAGAAAAAATTAGCAGCAATGGCTGAGGTGGGAGGATCACAGGAGCCCCTGAGTTCGAGGCTGCAGTGAGCCCTGATCCTGTTACCGCACTCCAGCAGAATGAAGCAGACTGAGACCCCTTCTCAAAACACACACCCACACACACGACAACAATAACGCAATAACACATCAACACCCCCAAGATAACTTATTACACTCTGTGGATCTATGCTATTTAAACCTAATTGCTTCAGGTAATCGTCTACAAACTTTTTTTTTTTTTTGGTCCTGGAATGGAATGTGTATGTAGGCTAGGCTCAGGGAATAACTCAGTTTATCAGGTTCTTGGCTCTTTTTTCCACAGGTCCAAAAGGATAAATGGATAAAGTGATGCTGAAGTAACTTACAGAACCAGTATTCCAATGCTTCTATTTTAAAACAGTGAAGCAGTTTTTAAAATAGAAAAGTATCTATAATTTTGCTTTCAAGCAAACTAGCGTTAACGGAATCATTGCTATTCAAAACTATTTTTGAAGTATCGGTGTATATTTAAAATTTTTTTTTTAAAAGGAAAGCTGTCGTACTCTGGATTCCGCCACTCCCCCATCCCCCCGCCCCGCCATTCTTCGCCCTCCCCCCATCTCCTCCCTCCGATGGCTTAAGTCGCATAGCTGAAAGGATTTTGCTCATTTTTTCCAAAACACTTCGCGTCTGGGTAGTAGCCAGTCATGGAAAGTTTCAGGCAAATGCTACATTTGGGAGAGGGATGAAGCTCGTCCGGGGCTGCTCTCAGAGGAGTCGCCAGACGACCTGACCTGGGGGCCAGATGCGGAGCCGGGGCCGACCGAGCTCCGACAGCCCGGCCACACTCAGCCCGGCCAACCCTGCTGACCTCACAGCCCTCGGCTGCGGGGGCTCTCGCCCACGAGTCTCCCCAACAGCTCGAGGCCCCGGAGTTGAGGAGCCCACCGCTTCATAAATGCGAGAACCCTGAGCCCCCAGCACCCAACTAGGCTAGCCTCGGGGTTGGCGCGGCGTGAAGAAAGTGCTACTGTGGAGCCGGGCCTGGCTCATCCGCCTCACACGTCAGTTTGACTCCCCTCCCCGCCCCCCACCGGTCCCTCGCCCTCCTCTCCGCGCACCGAGAGCCGACAGAAATTTGACTGCTCCAATCGCCAATCAAAAGAGAGGTCGAGGATTTGAGCCAATCGAAGCGGCGAAGGGGGCGTGCCGCCGGCGTTCCCCGCCCCCGGGTGTGTGAGCGCCGAAGGTCTCGAGCCCTCCCCTGCGCTTTAGCCTCAGTGCGGAGCCCTGGGCGGTGCGAGGAGGATCGATCGCGAGGATCCTCGGGAGCGGCAGCAGCAGTAGCAGCAGCAGCCCAGCAGTACCTGCAGCAGCAGCAGCAGCAGCACCTGCATCCGCTGCGGGAGTGGGAGCTGGAAACACACCCACGTCGCTGCCCTTTCCTCTTCTGTCATCTCACCGCCCCGCCACAGTCCGCGTTCCCGGAGGAAAGCGGCCGCCCACGCCCGGAGCATCCTCCCCTGTCCAGGGGGCGCTGACTGACCCGGAGGCATGATGCGGCTGCGAGGCTCGGCGATGCTGCGGGACCTGCTCCTGCGGTCGCCCGCCGGCGTTTGCGGGACTCTGAGGCGGGCACAGCCCCTGGTCACCCTGTGCCGGCGTCCCCGGGGCGGGGGACGGCCGGCCGCGGGCCCGGCGGCCGCCGCACGACTCCACCCGTGGTGGGGCGGGGGCGGCTGGCCGGCGGGGCCCCTGGCGCGGGGCCTGGCCAGCTCTCCCTCGGAGATCTTGCAGGAGCTGGGCAAGGGGAGCACGCAGCCGCAGCCCGGGGTGTCGCCACCCGCTGCCCCGGCGGCGCCCGGCCCCAAGGACGGCCCCGGGGAGACTGACGCGTTTGGCAACAGCGAGAGCAAAGAGCTGGTGGCCTCAGGTGAAAAGTGAGTGTCTCCGCGAGGCGCGGGAGGCCTCGTTCCGCTCTGGGCCGGGCTCTGGGGAGTAGGGGGCCTGCGGCGGGGCGGGATGGGAGCCGAGGTTTTAGAAAAGAGAAAGAAAGAGATGCCGGGCGGCTGCGCCATGTGATTAGGCCCGGCCCCGCCCGCGCCTTCCCCGCCCGCGCCCCTCTGCCAGGCCCCCACTTCCCTTCTCCGCCCCCGGCGGGGGTTGCCCGGGTGGAGCAGTGGCGGGGCCTGAGGGGCTCGCCGGGCGTCCCCGGCGCAGGAGAGGCCGCTGCCCTGCCTGCGCCGCGTGCTCTGCGCCCTGGCTCGCGGCTGCAACGCCTGGCTGCCTGCCCCAGCCATTCGTGGGCGACGCCGCACGAACATCTCCACCGTGTGGCATTTGGGAGTCTGGCGTTCACCAGAGCCTTTACCTTCCTGACTTGTCGCCTTTCCTGGCTCGTTTCCGCTCTGCCCGCCCTCCCCGGGTCTCTGCCATCATCCTGTTGGAAGCCAGATGTGACAGAGAGATCTTTATGTTTCTGGAGTGGCCACCTCAGGCACGTGTAGAGCCATCTGGGGCGCCGGAAGCAGTGTTTCAGAAGTGAGATTAGGAGGAATAGGGTCATGTGGCCGAGAAGATGGGGCACGCAGTATATAGACCACCTGTTTGCATTGAGGATCGGCTTTGGCCTCTCATGTCTTCCGTGAGATGGAGGGATTTTTAGAAATAAAAGTTAAAGGGCCAAGATGAAATGTGACATAATACATTAGCTCAGTGAAAAATTTGAGTTAAGTAGGTTTTGTGACTTCATTGTGATAGGATGTTGACTCATCCTGGATATGTACAGCACAGTAGTTTATTCTTAAAGCAGAATTGGTTTTTCTTAAACAATATGCAAAACAGTCTCCTAAATATTTTTGTCTTCTGTAATACAAATGGACAACTTTGTTTTCCAAAGATGGGTAAAATTTACCTGTTTGCGTTCATTATACCTTACTATTTTTCGGGCTTTGTATGCTGACACTCTGTAACCTGTTCTGCTTCCCTTTTATTTCTGCTGCTATTTCCAGCTCTAGAGTTCCTTAAGTCAAACCGAAAGTGAGAACGTTCTTACAATTTCAATCTCACGCCTGCTTGATATTTTCCTGTAACTGAAGTTGAGACCTTCCAAAAACTTTACTAAAGTTCTTCTCCCAGACTGAAATAGATTATTTGAAAAAAATCACTTGATGGGCGAAATTTGTGATATTGTGTGATATTGGTCGTACCACAAAATAACGTCCTGACCATGGGCAGGTTATTTAATAACTTGGGTTAGATAGCTTAAATCCTTTCAAGTTCTAAAAAACTAAAATCTTGTTAAATATGTACTTTTCTCCTGTTTTAGGGACTAGAATGATAATTTAGTCTCATCTGGGACTCACTTTACTTTAACATTTTCTGGTGTACCAAGCAAGTGACAGGAGTTTACATACAAGTGCCCAAGTTACCGAATTACAAAATGCAGTCACTACCATTTAAAAGATAACGTTATGGGAACTGCTTTCTAGTAAAATTATGTCTTCAGGTCTGTGTTTCTGCAGTGGCTCTAGTGCCTGTCTTTTTTTCCTCTTTTGTCAGATAGGAAATTGAGCTTCTTTTGTGATTCACTTGTCCAGAAGTTTCTGGTTTCATTGCCTTCTTAGTAAGAAGTCACCTTTTAGCAATGGCCTCAAGGTTGTGAAGAAAGTTTGTTAATTTGGTTAAAGTTTCTATTTCCTGAATGATCTCTTTCCAAATGTAGCTTTTCTCCTTTGGCTCCTTCCATTTTGCCTTTTTGTGACAAACATTTCTCTTATCCTGGGAGATAAGCTCCCAGTTGATCCTGTTATCCTTTCTAATGCTTAGCCTGCAAAGCATAGGTCATCCCTCAATCAGCAGTCCACGTGGTATGCTAGCACTCACTCAGGACTGTGCTAGATTTTATGTAGTATTATTAAAATAAATAACCATGTGAAAATTAAATTGACATTTTATAAAAGGCTTAGCACAATATTTGGCGTTTATTAAATGCCACGTAACTGTTCATTAGATACATGAGAAAAAATTGCTTTTTCATTATTTTGAAGTCTGTTAAGGAGATTGGCCTTTGAATTTCAGGCTTGCACATAAAGGTTTTAAATTTTTTTTAGTTTCCACAAAAATGTTTATCTTGAGAAATTGCTATGCATCTGTCTTACATGAAACTATGTGATTTGCACTGTTTACCTTTTGCTCTGCTGATAAATAAGTTCAGAGTAAATTTAGTGCTTAACCACACCAATTTCATTAGTTCACATGGCTGGGGTATTTGCTTTTTCTTCATTCCTTGGTCCTGACTTTATATTTTATTTAATTTATATTCTGGAAAGAGGTAGCATGTAAGCAAATTACCTTACCTTTTTTCCACAAACTCCTTGAACTAATGTTACCCTAGACTATACTGTCTCCATTACACAACTTTAGTGTGGTTTAGGATACAAACATCTTAATATCATATAGAAAAATGTAATTATCTTTGCTCAGTTTTCCCTATAGTGATCTTATTTAATTTTGTTATGGTTTATTCTGTTATCTTGAAAACCAACTTTGCTTGCCTCTCTTCATTTTCAAAATTGTTCTTTCTCCTTTCCTACTTCTTTTTGGGTTTCCTCACTGGGTAAACCCTGAGGCTGAGGCCTTTGCTCCTTTCCCACTTGTCTACCTTCTCAACAGCGTATCCCTTCTTTCAGCTTTGACTTTCATCTTTGTGTAGGTAATACTTCATCTCTTAATCTAAGCTCCATTCTCACATTTGTCTCCCCATATCCGATGACTTCAAATTTAAAATTTATACCCCAATATTCATTATTTTCTCTAATTCAATCTATTTTGTATACTGTTATGAGATTAATTTTAGAGTTTTAATTTGAAAATATCACTCTCCTTCCAGAAAACCAACAGGAACTGGAATGAGCATTATATATGTGTGTGCGTGTCTGTGTGTGTGTGTGTGTGTGTGTGTGTGTGTGTGTGTATTTTTTTTTTTTTAAGATGGAGTCTTACCTTCTTGCACAGGCTGGAGTTGCCATGACACAATGTTGGCTCATTACCAACATCGATTCTCCTGCCTCAGCCTCCTGAGTAGCCAGGATTACAGGTTCACACCACCACACCCGGCTAATGTATATCCTATCTTAGTGAAGGGTCCCTTGGAAGAGTCAAAGGGATAGAGGTACAAGGGCATTATTAAGTTTTTTAATTTGGACATTTATTTTTTAATGAGAAAGGAAATGAGATAACAGAAATTGAGCTGAAAAAATACCAGCAAATGTATGTTGTTTAGAAAATAGATAATTCATGCAGGATGCAATATTGAAAGTATTCTCTCTCTTTTTTTTTTTTTTTTTTAATTGAGACGGAGTTTCCCTCTTGTTGCCCAGGCTGGAGTGCAATAGCACGATCTTGGCTCATCGCAACCTCCGCCTCCTGGGTTCAGGCAATTCTCCTGTCTCAGCCTCCTGAGTAGCTGGGATTACAGGCACGTGCCACCATGCCCAGCTAATTTTTTGTATTTTTAGTAGAGACGGGGTTTCACCATGTTGACCAGGATGGTCTCGATCTCTTGACCTTGTGATCCACCCGCCTCGGCCTCCCAAAGTGCTGGGATTACAGGCTTGAGCCACCGTGCCCGGCGAAAGTATTCTCTTAAGGCAACAATGAGGTCAGTTTCTCCTTGTCAGATTGGCAAATGTTAAATCAAGTGATTGGAAATAGGAACTCTTGCATTGTTAGTAGAAGTATAAATTAGTTCACTTACTTTCGAGGGCAGTTTGGTAGTTTCGGTTAAAAACTGCTTACTGTGAGGTAGTAGTTGGATGTTTGCACATGTACTTGAAGTCTTGGCATTCAAAAATATTTGTAATTACACAAATAAGCATAATTAAAAGTATATTTATATTTAAAAGTTCAAGAAAAAATGATTTCAGCTAGTTTTAGATAGTATGGATTTATGTTTTGATAGTTCAGCTTTATGTTTTGATAGTTCATATACTTAGTAAATGGAAAATGAAGGGCAAAGAAAATTGTCGTGGTATATACTCTGAAAACTGAGTATCAAAGTAAGATTAAATGGTTATACATTTCAGCAAACATTGAATTGGGTAGGTTGAACAATACTAGTAAGAAAGTTGAGTCAGTATTTGGCAGATATAAATATTATGTTTTAGAATTGAATGATAGAACTGCTTTTAAAATAGGTAGTACGTGTTTTTATGATCCTTCAGTATTGCATTTGTTCTTAGTTTTAAAAGTTAACATATTTACAATTCACTAAAATTGAATTCACAGTGGAAAGTATGTTTAATTTTTTTGTTTGGGCTTCTCAAGCAGCCCCTTAGTTATTTTTGATTTCTTCAGTATTTTTTTTTTTTTTTTTTGAGACGGAGTTTCGCTTTTGTTACCCAGGCTGGAGTGCAATGGCACGATCTCAGCTCGCCGCAACCTCCGCTTCCTGGGCTCAGGCAATTCTCCTGCCTCAGCCTCCTGAGTAGCTGGGATTACAGGCACGCGCCACCATGCCCAGCTAGTTTTTTTTTTTTTTGTATTTTTAGTAGAGACGGGGTTTCACCATGTTGACCAAGATGGTCTCGATCTCTCGACCTCGTGATCCACCTGCCTCGGCCTCCCAAAGTGCTGCTTGAGCCACAGTGCCCGGCCGATTTCTTCAATATTAACAGTTTTTTCCAGGTGATGATTATCAGTGAGTTTTAGATTTCTATTTTTTTAAAAGCACGTGACAAAAGTAGCAATAACTATATGTTATAACATTTTTGTGGCGTAATATTTATATTAAAATGTGCATTAATTGCTTCTCGGCCTTTTGGCTAAGATTAAGTGTAAAATGTGTATTAATTAGTCATTGACAAATTTGTCCATGATTTGTAATTAATAAACTGCATGCTGTTAATTTTATTAATATTTGGATGAAGTTCACTGAAAA